CGTGCTTCTAGCTCCTCGACCATCTTCTGGTTCTCGCGGTTGCCCTCCAGCAGGAACTTCAGGCACATGACGGCGTGTTCCTTGATGTAGGGATTGTGCGCATCAAAGTTGGTGCAGGACAGAATGGTCTCGACACCGCCGTAGCGACGGATTTGGTCCTGCACCTCGGGGCACTTCCAGACAAGAGATGACAAAACAAGCACAACGAGTTTCTTGAGGTTACGCCATTCGAACTCGGACGGATCTTCGGTGATTGGCGGGGATTCGGCTCGAGAGCCGGGGGCATCAATTGGGTCCGGGTCGCCGGGATCGTACGGGCGTTCAACTGCAACCGGTGCTGGAGCCGTATGCTGAGGCTCCTTGGAAGGGTTGTTATGTCCCAGGTTGAGCGCGCTCAGCTGACCCTTGGGAATGCTGGCTTCGAGCTCCTTGATCAACGTGACCAGGTCGTAGACAATTTCCCACTTGACCAGCAGATTCTTCCAGTCGTTGTTCTCCGTGAGCACAGCAAAAAACTCGAGGAACTGGTAGACACCCTCGTACACCCGCTCCATGTCCCAGAGATTCAGCGGGAAGTCCTCAGGCAAAGCCCGTCCAGCTCGTATTTGACCCTGCAGATAGATCAAAGCGCAAGTTTCGGGGATGATGTTGCCGCGGAAGATTGTGAAGATGTACCGGACAGTAAGGATGTCGACTCTAGAAAGCGGCGCCGGGTTCTTAGTTGCTGTTCCGTTGGACTGCGTTGATCCTGTAACAGATGCAGGAGAGTATTTAGCTCGGAAGATGTGCGTGAGGATCTTGACAACCACTGCCTGCGCAGGCGAAATGATATCCTTAGGTTGGCCGAAATCGGAGTATGCATGAGACATCAGACCATTTCTCAAAACCGCGTCCATGATCTGAACCATCATCTTGAAGTAGAGTTCGTCATCAGGGAGATCCCAGGCAGCGATGAAGATCAGTAGCTCGCGAAGCAGATTCCGACCCGTCTCCTGGGTGAGCAGAATGTGACATCTGAGAGCCTGCATGTTCCTCGAGCCACTTCTCTCTCCGCCCTTTAGCCCAAAACTATCCACAATACCAGCCTGGATTATCATTGGCAGCGCCTCGATCTCTGCAGGGCCCAGCACAAGTGGGATATCAGTCAGGAGACCCCGCTGCTGGTCGCCTGGACGGCCGCGATAGTCATCATCATCCTCGTCATCCTCTTCCTCTTCTTCTTCCATACTTCCGTCTGCAACGGCCTCCAAACTGCGCGAGTCATCGTCACCAACCGTGCCTGCATCACCAGTGTCGTAGTCCTGGTCACCGTCGCCAATCTGGGAGCTCTCCTGCAACCGAGCCATCAGCTCGTCTTTAGCCTCCTGCAGTGTTTCTGCCGCCGACTGTGCCGAGCGTGGCATGCTCATATCTTCCTCCATGACAGTTGCGTCGCCACCCGAGAGCGCGCCGTAATCTCCGAGATCAGGAAGATCGGTCCAGCAGACACGTGGGAATCCAGCCGTTGCGCTGCGGTCAATCGTGACAATCGCCTTCTTGCGAGGCGGTTCATCTTCTGGCAGAGCAGGAGGTAGGTCCTTAGCCCTGTCCTGAAGATCAGACCATCCATCAACCTTGGCTCCGAGTATGGCGGTAAGAGCGGCGCGAATCTCCTTCACCTGTTCTGGATCCTTCCCCATTTCCTGAATGGCAGTCAAATCGCGTCCAAGCAGCTTCTCCATGTGGTCCTTGATGTTAGCAAGAAGCAACATGGCTGCCTCTTCCTTAATGGTGGCGGGCTCTCTCGGAAAGTTAGAGATGGTTTCCAGGAGCAGATCCTCTGCTGTTTGGTCGTAAAGAGCCCTTATCGGGGGATTTACTATCCTCTCTCCCGTCTTTACGATGGGCGCCATGCCTTCCTGCTGACCGCAAGTGGGGTCAAGGGGCTCTCTGGGCTGGATAATGTTCGAGTCGCCGGTTGAGTGGTACCCAAACAAATCTAACCATAGCACCATCTTGCGTTGTTCGTTGTGCATGATGAAGTTATGCAAGAACTGCAAGCAGGTGATAAGGAGACGCTTGTAAAGGTTGACAACCTTTTGCCAGCGCTCTTCGTTCCTCGCATTCGTCTCCCCGTCAAACCCTCGCGCGGTTACTCTAACGCAAGTATCTACCAAGGCTAAGATCCTCTGATCGAAACCTTTCTCCGCCGCCATGTTCTGCGCCTTCTTCGTGGTGGCAAGGAGGTTACGGGCGATCGTACAGAGATCATTTAGACGCTCAATGTCCTTCACTAGCGAAAAATAATTGTAGGCTATTAGGTTGGAGGAGGAATGATCGTAATTCGCCGTCGGTGGGCTCTTCCAGGCAAACGATTGGGATTCGAGGACCGGGATCGCCTTCGTCAGTACGTCCGTGAAGCCTTGCCAGATATCCGGTGATAGGCCGAGATTATGTCTGTTACACGAGAGAATGGTCAGTATGCAAGAGTGGAAGTGGGTGGCGGACAGATGGTGGTGGGCCACTGGACAGTGACTCTGGCCCAAGACAGAAACCATCGACATACCTGACGTCGCTCTCCTGGTGTGTTTTGTATAGAATCTGCTTCCCAGCAGAGAGCATGTGTTCTAAGCGTTTGTCGTCAATCATCCCGCGGGTTTCGTAGTGGCTCAAGGTCCCCGTCAGAATGACCTTCAACATGAGCTCCGCGGGGGTGCATTTCGGCTTGATTTCCGCTGCCGTGCGGTCGGCCATTTTTGACGATGCTTGTGAAGATTTGTAGCACAAGCAGCTGTCCAGTGTAGACCGCGCAAATAGTAGTCGGGAGGGGTGTGGGATCAACGACAATGAGGGACGCTCGGTGGAGAAAGATTCATTGAACCGTCGAGGGGAATTTTTCCGGCTCCGTCCCGGCAACTGCCATTTCGGGTAATCCATCAAGGTACATACATGCAAGAGGGCCAGTGAATGTGAAGCATGCTTTTTGCAAGAGTCATGATTTATATGCATTCAAGTGAAGCTAGCAAACTATCTACTTAGATCACCTTTGGTCGAATGGGTAAGCCCAAGACATGACGCAGATTGTCCCAGAATCCCAGGTCATAGATGTTGTCAATCTCCTTCATACTTTGCACCTGAACCCACCTCCGGTCTATCGGAGCGTCCTTGTTGCTCGGCTGAGTGATCTCATTGGAGTGTTGCGATAGCAAGCACCCTTCCTTGGGCGGCTCACCATCTGTCAGAATGAGTACCTGATCACTACTCACTGGCCAGAAGGACTGAGCACTCTGATACTCGGCCAACAAGGGTGAGCTGCTATAGATTTCAGCCTTGCTAGATTTGTAAGCCATACCATCTGCAACCTCTTCTTTCCAGTCTGACCACTTTGAGCTTTCGTTGGTCGTCATACCAGCCCAAATCAAGTAGGTGTGGTACACGAGAAAGGCGGCCGCCAGTGGTGCTGTCATGGTCATCAGCAAGGTAATAGCACCAATGCGAATATCAGCAGCAATAACTACAGCCCATATATTGCAAAAGCCAGTCCAGGTTTGCCGGGTCGTCCGCAAGGGTGAGTCCGATGGTATCAGCCTGTTGTATGTTTGATACAAAAGAGTGTATCCCAGGTATGAGCCGTAGATCAGCATGAGACATAGTGACAAGATCATGGAAAGAAAGTAGTGGTAGTTGTGAAGTCCGACACAGTTCATGAGCCAAACGCAGTGATGGTCATGCCGTGCGACACATGCTTTGCAGATGCTGCAATGTTTACTTCGTGCCGGCTTGACAATATGACATGTGCGACAACGCTGCCCCGGGTGGAAGATGACCTTATCGTATGGATAGCGTTCCATTTCCACTGCATGATTTTTTGTGGTGATGAATGACTTGGTGGTAACGCTTGCATACAGCAAAACGTAGGGCATTGTGGCAAGGATCGGGATCCAGATATGGTGGACTGTGGAAATCCTAGGCCAAGCAGTTGGGATGAACATACACTGCCCTGCAATCATAAGGGAAGAGAAGAATATCTAACATCTATAATTAGAGGAGACCGTTGAATATTAGGCACATGGACTAACAAGAATCAACGGGTGATTTTCGTGCAGAATGTAACTGCCAGAACAAGTCCAGCAGTGAGACAGCCAGCCATTTAGTAGCCAGCTGTCAAGGTAAACAAGGCCGTTAGGTATGTGTATCCAAAGAGCTCTATACAGCCAACCAATGGGAGTTTTGCTACAGGAATCATCTATCAGTCACGGCCCTTACAACGAAATGCTGCAGCCTACCGAAACGCAGGGAGTCTCCCAAATAGCGCCACGAAAACAAATCCAGAGATCCCGAGGATCACAAGTGCAATGGTTCTTATAGCGCCCATCGTGAATAGAATTTTGATCGTATCTCTGGAGAAGTTTCTTCCGATCAGACCGTCGCCTGCCCTCACCTTGTTAGTATGGGGCAAATTTATAGTTGAAACGTAATGCAGGTGAGTGCTTTGAAGAAAGGATAATGCCACCCCTGTCGCTTAGACCAGAGCTAGCATTATCAGTTGACAGGCTTTGGCGCGCCTGCTTGCAACCACTATCGCCATGTTGGTGATCCTGCCGCCTAAGTGTCCACCGGGTATTTATTTTCGAGTAACAGACACGTGACGTAATTGCCTAAAGGGGAAGAAATGAGCGTTACTGCTGGACATCACGGTTTGGATCAAACTTATCTGAAGTACTCCGTCCTTAAGTTGATTCTAACCTTATTTCTGCATTAGTTTCGCATAAATTCGCTAGTCTTCATATTGAATAATCAAGCCCCTCACCTGCACCCTTTATCTTTGATTGGACTTCCTCACGCGTGGAACACGTGAACACGTGATAACGTGTTTCTGTATACCTGCGGGTCTACAACTTGAAACGTTCGCGCTGTTGACCTGACGATTATAATGACTGGAACGAGCACTACAGGAGATAGTGGAGTATTGAAAGAGGCAGTAACGCCCCTTTTCCAAGGGAAGCAGTTCTGGTTGTCTCACAACATCCCCCAACGGAAGTGGTTCAAGGAATTAATCGAGGTACTACAACTATACATGGCTTTTAAGAACGCGTGACTAATTTGTCTATGGAAAAACGGCGGTACTATACGGCTGCTGGAGAAGGATGCAGATATCAGATTGGTTGATCATAAGAGAAAAAACTTACCCTCTGACACGTGAGGTTTCCTGCCATTTCCATCCTTGACTCACTTGTGTGATCGCATCGCTGGAAAACAGCGCACACTGTTTTAGGCTTCTACCATCCAGTGGACACTTACAGGATATAGGTACTCTTTTAAATATGTCGAAGACTCACACCGCCTGGGGAAGCTGCAGAATCTAGAGAATTATAGAGCCGGGCCTTCTGAAGCACGGCCTGTAGGGGCTACCAACATTCCCACCAGAGGCCATAAGATCCCCTATACTCTCGAAGATGACCAGTTGCTCTGGGATTGGATGCAACCCCACGAGAGAAACCCTAAGGCTTCCATTAGAGGCAACAAGATCTATCAAGAGCTAGCCGAGAAGGTATCAAGAACCCCCTCCGAGCTGTGAAATACAGGCATACTAAGCGTCATCCCACTAGCATCCAAGGCACACGTATCAATCATATCGAGATCGGTACCTCAAAAGGCTCAAGGGACATCCACGTCCTGGTGGTATGCCAGAATCAACTGATCAACCTGCGCCTGATGGGCCCTCCAATTTAGCTACTCGCCTGGTCCAGTCTGAGCCTCGAGGAGGGTCTGCACAAGGGGTTGAGCCTACTGCCATGCAAGCAAATGACAAGAAAAGGAAACGGGCTTCGGAGGATACTCCTGGGGAAGGCAATATAGACAGTACTAATAAGCCAAGTTTGAAGAAAAGAGTCACCGAAGTCAATATCGACCTTCCAGACCCTTTCATCTCCGGACCTCAAACGAAACTGGCTGCAGTACCACATTCAGCGACAGCATCCAACGGTCAGCGACCAACTCCTGGGGCAAAAGAGGCGAGAGAACGCGGGGCCACTGAAGGATCGAAAGCTCCAGCCAAGGAGCCACGCCAGCCTTCGCAGCCAGACCCCCTGTTTCTAGAGCTGCCATTTTTGCCTTCTGACGATGAGCCTGAAGAGGAAGATATGGAGCAGGATATCGACGCATGGATCGACGAGCGACTTCTTAATGGAAAGGCTCAGCATGAAGAACAAATACACCTGGCACTGCGGTGCACCAGCATGGATCCAGATTTAGCTGACAGGGTCCTGGCTATCCTAGTAGAAGGGAAACCTATACCGGATGATATGCCTGGTGTTTGGACACCTGAAGATGACAAATGCATAGAAGGAAACGAGACTCGAGGCATCCAACGAGTCATGGAGAAGCATGGTACGGAGGCCTTCAACAATCGCTGGGAGTACCTCAGCATGGTCAGAGAGGCCGGTCTTTTAGATACCCTTTGAATAGGACTGCCGCAATTTCAATGTTCCAGAACCGCGAACTAATGATAATGTACATGGATTTTAAGACGCTAAATAGAGACACAAACATAAAAATCCGGGAAACAATTGATATCCAAAGAGAAATGGTGCGAATGAGTTCGCGAAGACCTGGAGCAGCTGGCGCATTCCCGTTGTATTCCGGTGTTAATTCCCTTCAAACAGGAGGACTCTAAGGAAAGTCCATGTCGAGACTAGCCCAGGCCATTGTCTTACACTTAGGTTATCTGGAACCAGTATGTGAAACTTCAAAAACGCCCTATATGCTTGCTCCTTCAACACTAGTCTGCAATTGCGCCTGTCGTAAATTAGACGATGATAAATAAAGAACCCGAACTTTAACAAATAGAGGTTTAGCCCTCCTTAAAGACCCTAATGAGAGTGGTTAGCATATGCTCGTCTTATGAGGCGATGGATAAGGATGGCTTACAGATGTGATTCATAGAATTGGAGCATCTTGCTACAAGTCAGCGCCGGTGAAGAACCGCGGATCCCAGATAACTCACCTTCTTCGGGCACTTGTCGTAGCACATCTCTATGTTGACCTTTGACTTTTTACCATTCTTCCAGCTAATAAACGCAAGCAGATTCGACGTTCCAGGTTGTCGTATGATTGTTTCCACCGTATCGACCTCCTTCTCCCAGTTGCGAGACGAAGGAACCCACGTAGATGTGTCGTCGCTTTCACCTTCATCGGCCTTCTCTTTTTCTTTTTCGGGTGACTCTGTTGCTGTTTCAGCCCGCGACTTGCGGCGTCTCTTGGGCTCGGGGGTTATCTCGGGCGCGGACTTTGGAGGTCTCCCTATCGACTTGCGCTTTTTCGTTTGCGGTTGTGGCTTTTCAGGACGACCTCCCAAAATTCGAAAGTATTCCTCGACTATTTCCTTTGCGCCTTCTCTGTAAACGACCCATCAGTTTTGTTGAAGCTGAAAGAAACGACATCCAGCAGCATACAGTAGATTCTCTTCTGGCTCCAGTGTCAAGTCAGCGGGGTCATCGTAGCCCTGCCACTTGACTTGAAGAAGGAGGTCGCCCTGCCACATCATTAGCTAAAGCATGCCCTGTTGGTCAATAGAACGGGTAGATATAATGTCGCGCACATTTTTGGCCCATTCATGATTCACAATCTTCTCAACAATGTATCTGTTCACGTCAATTCTTGCTCGCGACTAGGTCGCACGCGCGCAAGCTTACACATCCTCTTCTTCCTCATCCTCGTCCTCGTCTTCATCGTCATCCTTAGACGCCTTCTTCTTTGATCGAGCATCGTCATAGGGAATCGACTCGCCACTCGACGACTCGTCGTCTGAAATGTCAGGAACCGGCGCTGAAATGAAGTTAATATGACCGTGTCTCAATGAAAAGCATAACTGTATTAGTTTGCGGCTACTTACGGGGCATTGTTCCGAAAGAAGCAAGGCGGAGAAGTCGGGAAAACAACTTGGCGGATTTCGCGAGAGATCGTCCAACGGTTTAGTGTAATTACAGATCGAATGACAAAGAAATAGACATCAGCGACGGGGCGACAATAAAGCAGCTGAGGGTTAAGTTGCTTCGGGTGTAGATAGAAATGCCGAGTCGCGCGGGCGCGCGGTGGGAAAACCACGCTATACCTGATATAGAAAGCAGCTCACTAGCCCGCTTTGGACATCTCCAGAATTTCGAATTGCAAGTGTGCCTCCAAGTCCCTCCGCCGTCCGGTCCTCTGCCTTCCCCCCATCGCTCCGATCAACTGTCTTGGGAGTCTACTTGATCCGTTGGCTCCTATCTTTGACCCCCTTGCCGCCTTTTATTTTCCGACTCTCTGAAGTGGGTTTTCTGCCAAGTGGCAGACCGTCAAAATGGCGATGCGTATGTTGCAATACCCCTCACTCGGCATCAACTATACTAACATTCTTTGGCCTCTTTTGCAGAGCTTGATCTTTCTCAAGGTGGGACCTTTTGCTGCTCCGGACTTACTTCGTTTTCGATATCTTTCGCTGACCATTACATTCAGCTTCTGTAATGAAGGATGAACAGGGCCGGCCATTCATCGTCGTTAGGGAGTACGTTCCGATTTTCGAACCTTTTCAACACAAATTGGACGGTTTTACTCAGGGCAGGTGGCTAATCCGGTTCTACAACACAGTCAAGGAAAGAAGAAGAGACAGCACGGCACGGATGCGGTGAAGTCACACATTGTTGCCGCTAAGACGGTCGCCAGCATCGTCAAGACCTCCCTGGTACGGACCGTCACCGGACTCGCAGAATAAGCAGTATTCTAATGGAGTTATAGGGTCCCCGTGGTCTCGACAAGATCCTGATCTCCCCTGACGGAGATATTACCGTTACAAACGATGGTGCCACTATTCTCGGCCAGGTTTGTCCTACACCATCAGGCGCTACACTAGAGATATTTCTGACTTGTTGATAATGGAAAGATGGAAATCACGAACAACGTCGCCAAGCTTCTTGTTGAGTTGTCGAAGTCTCAAGATGAGGAAATCGGTGATGGAACCACAGGTGTCGTTGTGTTGGCTGCTGCTATGCTGGAACAGGCGGCCGAACTCATCGATAAGGGCATCCACCCTATCCGGATCGCAGACGGATACGACCAAGCTTGCGAAATTGCCATTGCAGAACTCGATAAGATCAGTGATGAAATCCCCTTCACTAAGGAGGATACTTCGAACCTGCTCAAGGTTGCCAAGACCAGTCTGGGTAGCAAGATGTACGAGGGTTTCTCCTTTTGCCCCTTGGACCCTGCATGCTGACCCTGGAACAGTGTTTCCAAGTCTCACGACCAGTTTGCGAATATCGCTATTGATGCAGTTCTCTCCGTGGCCGACCTCGAGCGCAAGGATGTTGATTTCGAGCTGATCAAGGTTGACGGCAAGGTCGGAGGTGCCCTCGAGGACTCCCTCCTCGTGAAGGGTGTCATTGTCGACAAAGATTTCTCCCACCCTCAGATGCCCGACGAGGTTCGGGATGCCAAATTGGCCATCCTGACCTGCCCATTTGAGCCCCCGAAGCCCAAGACCAAGCACAAGCTCGACATTACGTCAGTTGAGGAGTTCAAGAAGTTGCAAGAGTATGAGCGGGAGAAGTTTACCGAGATGATTCAGAAACTGAAGGACTCTGGCGCCAACCTAGTCATCTGCCAGTGGGGTTTCGACGATGAGGCCAACCACCTTCTGCTTCAGAACAAGCTCCCCGCCGTTCGCTGGGTTGGCGGCCCTGAGATCGAACTGATTGCCATCGCGACGAATGGTCGTATTGTTCCTCGTTTCGAGGATCTGAGCTCGGAGAAACTCGGAACCGCAGGTCGTGTTCGTGAGATGACCTTCGGTACCACTCGGGAGAAGATGCTCGTCATTGAAGATTGCGCCAACAGCCGTGCCGTGACGGTGTTCGTTCGTGGAAGCAACAAGATGGTCAGTTTGAGATATCGGAGGACATGTGCAGGATGCTGACTCTCCTCCAGATCATTGATGAGGCCAAGCGTTCGCTTCACGATGCTCTTTGCGTCGTGCGTAACCTGGTCCGTGACAACCGTGTCGTTTATGGTGGTGGTGCTGCTGAGATTGCCTGCTCCATCGCTGTTGAGGATGCCGCTGTCAAGGTACGTTAATATTTTGAGAATCCGCATCTAGTCGTATGCTAACGTCATATAACAGAGTCCCGGAATTGAACAATACGCCATGCGCGCCTTCGCTGACGCCTTGGACGCCATCCCGATGGCACTTGCTGAGAACTCTGGTCTCAGTCCTATCGAGACCTTGGCTTCGATCAAGTCTCGCCAGGTCAAGGAGAAGAACACCCGTCTTGGTGTTGACTGCATGATGACCGGCAACAACGGTGCGTATAGGGCCTTCCTCGAAACCGCAGGCATCTTTACTAATCAGCCATCGATAGACATGAGAGAGCACTTCGCCATCGACCCCCTGATCGGAAAGCGGCAGCAGCTGTTGCTTGCTACTCAGCTCTGCCGTATGGTTCTTAAGGTGAGTCATCCAACCAGCTTTGCTTTATTTCACCCTGGCATAGCAGCTAACTCAAACCGAAACAGATCAACAATGTCATCATTGCGGGCGACGAGGATCAGGAATTCTAGATTTCTTCTGTATACAGGTTTTTTTGTTTCGATGGCTAAAAGTGACACAAACACTGGCGTTGCAGTCATGCGGAATCGATGATACTACATATAGTTCTTGCAGGTAATCAATCAGTCTCGGTGATGCTATGAATGACAAACATAGCGGTTACATAGAATCAGTGAAATGACAGAAATGACATTTAATCAGTTTCGGGGTAGATGAATCACATCGAGATGAGAAGCAGGAGAAAGAGATAGCAAAGCCCTGAGAAGAGAAGGGACAAAGAAAGAGAAAAAGGTCGGTCAACTACTAGAAGAAGCGTGGAATAGAAGTAAGATGGAAGTGAATGAATATATAGTAGTATTTTGTTGTATAACACTTACCATAGTATATTCTGAACATCACGACTTATAAATCGACAGTATCTTCTAGATAAGTTATATTCAGTCAGGTTTAGAAACTATATCAGCAGGTAATGAGAATAACGGAATAATCTTTCTATAGCAGGTGCTACACTTCCATTACAGTAGTATTACTACTATGTAAGCTTAGCATATAGTAACGATATAGTCGTTAACACCAGTCAAGGATCACCTAAGGCTATCAATTAATAATGCTATGTTACTGTACTACAACTGTACTGCAACGGGCGTTACTCTCACTGTGTAATCAGCAATGAAGTTAGATTTACTGACTGACAGATGTCTTGCGCTCAGCTTCTATACTAAATCAGAACGATGGAAAGCAGTGACATCTATCTCCACCCAGACATCTACAGGCATCAAGCAAGTCATCGTATCTCCAAAATCACTCACTTCATACTAGCAGATGTCACATGGACTAGTATCTTTCCTAATTCAGTATCAAAACTCCCTATCCTCACTCAGTATTCCCCAAACCTCCCCCCGCCTCCCGAGGTCGGAAGATACCGCAGCTTTGCATACGATAATCACTTCCTTATCTATCCTCTCACATAGTGTACCTAAGAATTAAAATGTGCCTTTTCCGTTTTGCTCAGCCCATTCACAGATAGGAAGTTATCTGGCCAAGAGAGATACCCGGAGCGGAGGGGGAAAGGGAGGGGACCAGATCCGCCCGAGGCGGATAATGCACCATACTGAAGTGGGCGGCCCGCCACCCAGCCGCCCGCCTGTGCCAACCGATGGAACCCTTCAATCAAGATAAGGAAAGAAAGGTAACTTTGAGTTGGAAGTGTATTGCAGATTGGTTGTGAGATCACGAGGAGGTTAAATAGCTGCGTTTATCCTCATCACCTCGTGTTGGTTGATTCATTCTTC